CCATTTTTTCTATTACAAATGTAGCAGCTATGAATATTTTTGTGCAGATATTATCTTCTTTTTCCTATAAAGATATCTTAGAATAAAGTCTCACAATAGAATTGCTGAGTAAAAAAGCATAAGCAATTTTGTGACTTAACTGCATAATGTTCTCCAAAATGTTTTGTTTTGTTTTTTGTACCAATTTAAAATCCTACCAACCAATTTTGTTTTTACCAATTTAAAGTCCTACCAACAATGTCTTTATGATGCTTGTTTCCCAATATCCTGATTAATAATGGATTTTGGCCATTTTTAACCATTCTAGTGGGAATATTAACAACGTTGTTTAAAAATTGACTTGATTGATATTTTCTTGTTTACTAGTGACTTTTATAATTTTTTCCCATATAGTTAACATTAATTTGTATCTCCTTCAAAAACTGACTAAATTGTGAAAATTTCATCACTGGGGACTATGAATTGGGCAGTTAGGTGGACAGAATACCAGGCCTGGAGTCAGGAAGACCTGAATTCAAATCCGGCCTCAGACACTTACTAGCTGTGTGACCCTATGCAGTCACTTAACCTTGTTTGCCTCAATCTCCTCATCTGTAAAATGAGCTGAAGAAGGAAATGGCAAACCAGTCCAGTATCTTCATCAAGAAAACCCCAAATGGGGTCACAAAGAGTTGGACACAACTGAAATGACTCGACAACAACAACAGATATGCTGAGTGTCACAAAAAATAACAGCAAACGCTTTTCCAAGTCTGTCCCTTTTGAGATCTTAGAGATAATGCTTTTCTTGTGCAAAGTCCTGTAACACCTCCATGATAAAACCCATCAACTTTGTCTCCAATGGTTTCTACTATTTGATTGATAAAAAGTGTTTTTTATACACAGTGGTGATGTTGCTAATGGTGAAAATCCATCAACTCTTAAAATCATAGTTTAGCATTATCTATCACCAGACATACCTTAGGTTTATCACCCATAAAAGTAAATGTGATGGTCTGAAAAAGTAACGTTCTGAAAATGTTAACTGTGAATGCTTCAAAGGGTCCCCAATCCTATTTTTCTCTGAAATTGCTAACATTATTGGACAAGCAGGCTGGTACCAAGTTATAGAGACTTGAACAGTAGAGGAAGGAGTTAAGGCTTTACTCAGTGGTCACCAGAGAACCCATGAAGATTTCTGTACAAAAGAATAACATGAACAAATCTATAAAATAAAAAGAATGTACAAAAAAGTTAACAAGCTAGTATACAACTTCAAATAATAAAGTGTTTTGCTGAAATCTCACTCAATAGGAGGATGAAAATGGTATAATTTTTCAGCAATTTAGAGGTATGTAAAATACATATTTTCAAAAAGAACTGAGAAATAGATAATAAAATAAGTAATTAATTTCTTTCTAATATCCATAATCAAAATTAAGAGTAAATGATATCAAGATATAAGCAGAGCCCATTTTCACATGGATAACAAGTGGATAATTCTTTTTTAATAAAGAAACATTTCGTCAGACTTTCAGTATGATATTCTGCTTCTGCCTGTTAAAATACACTAAAAATAATTATTCTGGGGGGAAGATCAGATGGAGTTTCTATTTAATCTGTGAAACCAATGAAAAGATGGCCTTTGCAATGTGTTGTAGTGATAAGACTCCTGTACTCAGTCAGACCTTGCTTCATACTCTGCCCTGCTAATTTCTAGTGGAAGGAGGTCAGATTAGTCATTGAGTTGCTTCCAAGCCTCTGTTTTCTCACCTGTAAAATGGAGACAACAATATTTGTAGGACCTCCCTCCCAGGTTTGCTGAGTTGAACATGCTTTATAAATGTGAGTTCCTAGCCTTCTCTAAACTTTAAACCTTAATCCAAATTCAACTTACAAAATTAGATAAGAATGATGAAGATGCTGCCTTATGATAGCACAATACTTTCTGCTTTTCATCGGTAGCTCAAGTTTTATTTTCTGTTTTTCATGTTTTCCCATTACCTTCTCCATCTCTGACTCTCTCTTTTTCTCTCTCTCTCTCTCACACTCTCACACACACACACACACACACACACACACACACACACGCG